CACGACAAGGTTCATGCTGCAAAAGGAGCAGGTATGGAAATTAGTCACATTGGTAGCACTACTATTCATTCCCAGAAACACAAACTTCATCTCAATAATATTTTGCATGTTCCTGAGGCGAAGAAAAGTTTGGCCTCCGCTCACAAAATTGCTATTGACAACAAAGCCTTTGTTGAAATTCATCCTGAATTTTTTGTTGTCAAGGATCAGGTCATGAGGGAGGCTCTTCTTCGCGGTAGATGACATGGCGGTCTCTATCCCTTCAAGTCATCCTCCTCCTCGCCAATAAAGCAAGTTTATGGTGCCACTAAGCCATCATCTACACGGTGGCATTATCGCCTAGGACATCCATCTCCGAGGATAGTTCAAAAAATTATAAATAAAAATGAGCTTCCTTGCTCAAGTGACTCTAGCATTGAGTCAATTCGTGATGCTTGTCAGCAAGCTAAAAGTCATCAACTTCCATACCCCACATTTACTAGTACTTCAAGCTCACCTTTAGAACTTGTGTTTTCCGATGTGTGGGGACCAGCACCATGTTCTGTTGGTAGAAACACTTGTTATGTGAGCTTCATCGATGACTTCAGCAAGTACACGTAGATTTATCTTCTCAAGAAACGTTCTGATGTGTTCTCTATTTTCTTGAACTTTCAAAACTTGTTGAATGTAGACTCGGTAAGAAAATTCTTACCATGCAAACCAATTGGGGAGGTGAATATCAAAAACTAAAAACCTTTTTTCAAAACATAGGGATCTCACACCATGTTTCATGCCCTCATGCTCACAAACAAAACGGGTCAGCCGAGCGAAAATACAAGCACATAGTTGAAGTTGGATTGTCTCTTCTAGCTCAAGCATCTATGCCACTTAAATTTTGGGATGAAGCGTTTCTCACCACCACATATCTCATCAATAGTGTGCCTAGTAAAGTCATCAATTATCAAACACCTATTGAGCGTCTCTTTCTTACCAAGCCAGACTACTCATTTCGCAGAATATTTGGGTGTGCATGTTGGCCACACCTACATCCATACAACTCCCGCAAACTTGAATTTCACTCAAAACAATGCACTTTTCTTGGTTATAGTCCTCAACACAAAGGTTACAAATGTCTCGACATCTCCACTGGTCGTGTATATATTTCATGAGATATGGTATTTGATGAGTCAGTTTTTCCTTTCAAAAATCTTCACCCCAATGATGGTGCCCGTTTACGCCAAGAAATTCTCCTTTCACCTCCTATCCTTACCAATCCCAAAATTCCCGGGGATGAAGTAGTAGGTGTTGACCAAGTGACTAACGACCATACCGACCATGTCTCTCAAAGTGTTGATTCTGGTGTGCAGGTAACAGAAAGCAATGCAAATACTGGAAGAAATATTGAAGAAAGCACAGCAAACAACAGTCATGGCGACACACACGGAGCTGCTGAAAATCCAGGTGGCAATCCCAGGGAGGATCCGCCTTCCTCTGGCAGCATGGGATCCCAAGAGGATTCTCCCGCTCAAGCCACGCGATCCGAGGCCGCGTCCCACATGCCCGGCCACAAATCCTCCTCACTCCACACGCCCACCAACTCCCCGCTCCGGTTTCAGCGCTCCCCAATCAAGACTGTGTCACGAGACCCAAGAACCACCTCTCCTGATTCGGGCGCATTTGTTTTGGCCCAGTCGAATGACAGCTCCACTTCGAATATCTCAAGTGGTCAGGCCGATCAAGATAGTGCCCAGAATTATGTCTCCTCCGGATCTTCTTTGCCTAGTGATCATGTGCCAGCCTCTGCTCCACAACGTATACAAACTCGATTTCAACAAGGCATTATACAACCAAAAAAGTTGTACCCTGGAATGATTCTGTATGGAAATCTATGTTCTATAGGAGAACCTCAGTCTCTCTCTGAAACTCTTGGTGATGAGAATTGGCGGCGTGCCATGGATGAAGAATACATTGCACTACAAAAAATGAGACATGGCATCTTGTTCCTCCACCCCAAGGTAAAAATATAATTGATTGAAAATGGGTCTTCCGTGTGAAGAGAAAAGTAGGTGGCTCCATTGACAGATATAAGGCTTGCCTTGTTGCGAAAGGGTTTAAACAAAGATATGGTTTAGATTATGAAGATACCTTCAGCCTAGTGGTTAAAGCAGCCACCATTCGTCTTGTTCTTGCTATTGCAATTTCTCGTGGATGGTGTCTCCATCAACTTGATGTTCAAAATGCTTTCCTTCATGGTATTCTAGAAGAAGTCTATCTTCGGCAACCTCCTGGATATGAAAGCACCAAAACGCCACATTTTGTTTGCAAGCTTAACAAAGCACTTTATGATCTTAAGCAAGCGCCTCGAGCATGGTTTTCACGGCTGGGCATAAAGTTGCAACAACTCGGTTTCAAACCCTCTAAATCTGATACGTCATTGTTCATCTTTAGAAAAGGAGGTGTCACCATTTTTGTTCTAGTCTACGTTGATGATATTATTGTAACAAGCTCCTCGCAAGATGTCGTGCAAGCTCTTCTTCATGACTTACGGACAGATTTTGCTCTCAAAGATTTGGGAGAATTACATTATTTTTTGGGCATCGAAGTACGGCGGAAAAATGATGAGCTACTTCTTACCCAAACCAAGTATGCCAAAGAGCTACTTCAACGAGTCAATATGGTAAATTGCAAGCCTTGTTCAACTCCATTGTCTGCAACAGAAAAATTATCTGCTCATGAGGGAGAACCTCTAAATACTGAAGATTCGACAAGGTATAGGAGTGTTGTGGGAGCATTACAATATTTAACTCTCACACATCCTGATCTTGCTTTCTCAGTCAATAAAGTCTGCCAGTTTTTGCATGCACCCACTAATGCTCACTCGACAGCTGTGAAATGTATCTTAAGATACATCCAGGGATCCATTGAATTCGGTATAACATTCAGAAAATCTTCATCTCTATTAGTTAGCGGATTCTCGGATGCAGATTGGGCCGGTTGCACGGATGACAGAAGATCCACAGGAAGCTTTGTTGTCTTTCTAGGTCCAAATCTAATCTCATGGAGTGCAAAAAAACAAGCTACAGTGTCAAGATCCAGCACAGAAGCAGAGTATAAATCCCTAGCTAATGTTACAGCTGAAATCATTTGGGTTCAATCCCTATTGAAGGAACTTGGAATTCCTTAACTCAGAGTACCTTGTTTGTGGTGTGATAATCTTGGTGCTACTTACCTATCAGCTAATCCAGTCTTTCATGCAAGAACCAAGCACATTGAAATAGATTTCCATTTTGTTAGAGAAAGAGTGGCTCAAAAGATGCTTGAGATACGCTTTATTCCCTCCAAAGATCAAGTGGCTGATGGCTTTACCAAAGCTTTACCTGTGAGACTCCTGGAAGAATTTAGACGCAATCTCAACTTAGGAAGTTGATATTGAGGGGGGGTGTTAGAATACATTCAGTCATGGATGTAAACCGCCCTGATGATATAAAAGCTCGGTGGTGGTTTATGTCTAGTGGACTCTAGATATTACCTTAAGTCTCGTCGTTTCCTATTCCTGTAACCGATGTAATTGTTGCTCCTTATAAACACGAAGGCGTCCCTGCCTAGCGGCATACGTTTCCACCCATCGCTCCTACGAGCGCTTACACTCGACATGGATCGGCGCCATGATATGAGCACGACGAAGGTTCATACATTTAGGCCTTGCCCCGCAGCGTCCGCCTTGCTACGCGCCTACGCGTAAACGTTAACACGACGACGACGGCGCCCAGGACGTGCACCACCAGGTAGATGGCGACGCCGACAAAGAACTACGACAATACGACGTCGCGTCTCGAACTCGTGTCCTCTAAGTAGTCCAACAATTGCTCATCTCATCGAGGTCGGCGTACGGTTTTCGACGGGACGGTGGCTGCAAAAGTGGTGGTGTGTTGTGTGCATGTTAATTAAATAATCGTAACGTTGATCCTCAAAAAAGAAATAACCGTAATGCTCTATGGATTTAACGCAAAGTTGTGTGGGACAGACTGTTTCAAAAAAAAATTTGTGTGGGACAAAGTCGCACAGCGTACGTGGGCTTAGGCAGAGTATCGCTGGTATGATTCTCATCTTTTCTTTCCCACTAACACGTGGTACCCGCATAGGTAAAGAGAGGGTGATGTGATGTTTGACCGGTCAACGGAGTAAAATACAGAATTGTACGATAAGCCAGTGACCATATAATCATCTTAAGTCATATATAGTGATCATATTGATGGTATTCTTAAGTATGGTGATTAAAATAAGCTTTCGACACAAGTTCAATGACCAAAGATGCATTTTACTTTTTTTTCTTTTCCCTTTAACTATCTTTTCCCTTTGACTATCTATATGGAAAAGATCAACACAAGCCAGCCCAACTCAGTCAATCCCATCACAGAAAACAACGGACAAAGGACAACTGAGCTACAAACAAGTCCAGCAAGCAAACATCACAAAATCATCTAAAAAAAAGTAACCAGCGACCAGAAATAGCGATCAAACCGGACGATCGTACATGAATGACATCATTCGACTGAGACACAGCTAGAGACACAGCTAAAGTCTCAGTCGACTAAGATCTAGACAGACCCTATTTTTATTGGATAAAGTCAGCTGCCTTTCCCTCAAAAAAACATGAGACGCTAATCCCCTAAAAAAAACATGAGACCACAATGCAAATGTACAGAAGAAGTAACTGAGCTGTTACATGTTATAAAATCTCTCATCTTTGTTCTACAACTGTCGGTATAGAAGCCGGGTTACATCAAAAGGAGCCGGCGCATCTCGGCGTTAAAAACTCCGCCATCGATCAGCAATTTACATGGAGCGAGCCATATGAATATCCTACAGCTAAGTAAGCTGCCACAATGATGCGATCTGCTAAAAAGAACACAAACAACCAAAGAATGGCTATCCCGTATCGATTCACCATGTCCTTGGTCAAAAAATTACCATGGAGGAATGAACGATGCGGTTTCTGCTGACAGGTGAAGGAGCGATCTTCAAGAGGACCATTGGTCGGGGATGGCAATGAAGTACCTCAACATGGCCTTTCTAAACCTCTTCTTATACTGGACCGGCGAAATGACAGTTGGGGTCTCATTCTTGGGGCCGCCTAGGATGCCTGAGGCCTTCACCCACGTCTCCAACTGCTTGTCCCAGGTGTACTGTCGTAGGAAGTCGATGATGCCGATCACAAGTTCATTCTTCTCCTCGTCAATGCCGACCAGAAGCGAGTAGTCCATGACATCCAACGACTGCAAAAGTGAATTGAATTAATTAAGCGCAGATGTTTCTCTAAAATCATCAGGATGACGCAAAGTGAAATCAAATAAGTACTTATGTTTTAGGTTTGCAACAAGTAATAAGTAAATAAGGCCTGGTAGAAGATAATGAATACGAGCCATCTTTGTGGAGAAAAAGTGAAAAACACAAGCTATTCTGACTTCATGAGGAAGACCAGGAACTAGGGCTGTTCAATTTTCATGGGGTCTCAATATTATATGTTTAGGCTCAGCTGTGCGGTTCTATGAACACAATCCAGTAAAAACGATGCATTGAAAAAGATGCTTCTTCTTGCTCCTTTTGTTGTGTCATGTAAATGATGGTTCTCATATCAGTAAAACAAAGTGTGATCAGCAGTACTTTATTTGTGAAATTAAGGTGAACAAGACTACAGGGGTGCTGCTGGTAAACTGTTCCTTTTGGCATCATAAAGGTTCCTATAATTTGGTTGTATGAAACAACGTAAGTTGAGAGAGTTGCATACCGCAAGAATTGATGTATCATTCCAGACAGCTCTTTCCAATGTTCGCTTCGCCTTACGGCCCAAAAATATAGGCTTTGTATGTAGTTCCTCAATGAGATTAGAATCCAAAAGTACTTTATTGTTGCTAGATGTATCTGAATTATAGCGTGAACGCACGGAACCCTTTAGATCATACACCCTCGATATTGTTTTCTGGAAGAAAATGTTCTCCATAACCATAAGATCCATCTTAACCTCACGCCCTCCTTTCAAGCCCTTGATATTAACCTGGATGAGAGCAGCGCAATAAATTAATAAAAGATTGAACGAAAAAGTGTGCTGCCGGATCAAATGTGCAAACATAGAAAGTGGCGAACCTGATAAATTCCTAATATTTTGGCCAGACAAGTTGGGCTTCCAGAAGTCAATGATTGAGTCAAGTGCCTGAAGTAGTGAGGAGCAAACCCAACAAAAGAGTCTAGCTCCGTCTTGGTGACTTGTTTAATTATGAATCTCTCATCCATTGTCTTTGCAAAGTAAACATTACTTTTTCCACCATCAGCACTCCATCTTTTACAGCGACTGAGTGAACGTATGTAATCAACATCACTTGGACAGCACTTCTTTCTAAGTGAAGCAAACTGCCTTGCAAAATAACAAGTCACTGAAAACTTTGTATTATCTGCACAAAATGCTTCATCGTCAAACGAATACTTAAAGTGGGCTCCTTGTGAAGGCAAAGCTTTCTCAAGTCCGTTACTGCTGACCGCGGAGCAATTTGACATATGTTGAAAGCTGGATTTTGAATCCAGTTTATGCGTAACATGCTCAACATATTCTTGTGACGTCATGGCATATGATACGATACTGGTTGGCTCATCATCATAGACAGCAACAACAAGGGCACCTTCAGAACCAATATGAGGCAGCAGCAGCCGTGCCCCATCACTCACCATATGAGAAGCAGATTTGAGATATGTAGGTGCACGAGTAAGAATAACATTTAAGTTTCCCCTTGATCTAGGAGATATTTGAGAAAAAGCCCTGCGCATGTTTGTCATCGGATCCTTCACAAGGCTTGTCAAATCTCTAAAGGAATCAACTGATCTCATTTTCAAGGACAAATGTAATGAAGCAGGCAACAATCCAGTTTGTTCCCGTTCATGCAATCTGAATATAGAATCAAATGAATGGACTCGAACTGGGGAGATTGCCTTCTTGTAGCTTGGATTGCCCAACAAATTAAAAGACCCCTTCCCATCAGCTTTGATCAAATCTTGTGGAAGACTGCAGTGTGCTTCAGTAGATCCACTCCATAACATATCTATTTTATCAGATAAAATAGATGCAAGAGAGGGTAACCTCTCGACTGGTACCGTCTCGACGGAATTCATGGAAAGGCACTGTCCATTTTCAGACACACTGAATTTGCTAAAGACCACGTCAAGATCCCCTGCACCACTCACACCATCCACCTGCCCAATCGGCAAACTTGTTTCAACCAAGATATTCCCGTTATCTATTGAGGCCTCTCTGGATAGTAGAGATCTCCTTGGACTTCCAGAGGAGCACCTTCTGTATGTAGCAGGTCCTTCATGTGTTTCTCCATGCTGTGTAACAGTCGTCAGTAGCTCAGATTTATCTTCCTTTATGCTGGTGGCTTGGAGATTTTCTGGATTGGAAGAATCAGTTCTGGCAATATGGCCATTTGCTTTAAGCGAATCAATGTTACACAACCTGCAGTCCCAAACGTATGCATCTAGGAGGAGACCACGTCTCACACGGTTGAGTTCCAAAGTATCAATAGTTGATTTCATGGAATGAACACTCCCCTTTATAACTGGTAGAAGCAAACCCTGCAAAACAAAACAAAATGAGGATAAGAAAAACAATAGAAAACAGACACACAAAAGGCACTACAGACTCAGACAATAAACAAAGAAAAAAAATAGAAGGCGGACCTCGTATTCATTTCTTTCCCTGTTAAGCAAATCCTTCATCTCTATAATCTGCCTCCGTATACCTGTTTTTACTGGCTCATCCATGGTAATGATACTCCTCTCAATACTATTAAGGAAACCATATACCTCCAAATGTAAGGATTCCATTTCATCAAATACCTACATAAGAAAATTATTGCAAATAACCGAAGTTGAGAATGAAGAGCACAGAAATGAATCACTGATCTGTTACATAGAACATTAAACAGCATACCATGACTGTTTCTCCTTTCACCCAGTCTTGCATGCCGTGGCAATTGAAATTCAGCACCGAGGGTGGGAGGTTAACTGATCGAGTAAGCATGGGACTATAATGGAAGGCTGCTACCATATTTCCATACCTGCAATATTTTGTAAGCAGATTCAATTTCACGATAGGATTGGATACAGAGAGCTGAAAGATATGAATGAGCTACAGACCCATAAAAACGAAGGCAGTCCCGTTGTAGAGAGTGCCCACAGCTCGCAATTCGGTTGGCAGTTGCATGATTAGAAAAGCTGAGCTCTAGAAACTTCCCAAAGGATAGACCCCAAGCAGAATCAGACATGACCACTCTATGTGTAGCAGGCGGCATTCCATCTTCAAATTTGCACTTCATACATCTGTGCCACATCCATATCCTTCCATCGTGTTCACCTGGCAACTTTTGGGATAAGAGACGCCTAACACTTATTGTTAGGCTGCCGTTCTGGTGCATGTAGCATCTGGCATGTGATTCTGAAGGCTCCTTGCATGACGGACAGCAATATGCCTGAAAAGAAATGCAACACATTGCTATTTTGAAAAAAATGATAAAGGAATATTTGAGAAAACAGAATACAATGCATAGGCACATATCAGATGTACCTGGTCAAATAAGTTTTCGCGAAGGTATCTCCCAAGTGGCTTATCAAAGCTACCATAAAACTTGATGCGGAAGAGGTGGGAACGCTCACATGCTAAGTTTTTGGGGATACAGGTGCTTGAGAGGGAAACTAAGATGCTCTGATGATTATCAGTACCAGGTAAGTAGCTACATGAAAGCCTGTTCTGGTTATCTAGGCCTCCTGCCTGGAAGTCATCTGGTGGTAGGCCACTCCCACTGTTTTCCAAATGACATAAATCCACGGGTATCTTTGCCAAGACAGCCTTTTGGCAGGCATTAACGGCATTCAGAGAATTGGCATGATTAACAGGAGATTCAGATTCGGTACACTCAAGTGCACTTCCAAGGCTTTGCCCATCCAATCGTAATGAAGGCGGTGATGCAGAAATACCATCAAACATTTGCGTGATGGCAGCAGTCTGTGGGCATTTCTCTTCCGCAGCTCTGAGACTATCAGTAGTATCACGATCAGCAGACTTAGCAGAAATGTGATCTGTATTGGTCCATGCTTGTTGTGCACCCATTGCAGTTACTGAAAGAACTTGTGGAATTGTTGCGCCCTCATCAGCAAGGAATGATGTCTCGAGGGACAGATGATAAGCAGCAAACACTGCCAGTTGCATTGCATGCTTAATCTTCTTCAATTCTTCTCGACAATCTCCTCTTAGTAGAACCTAAATAAAAGCATTGCACGTTTAGCTTGCAGAATGGTTCTGGAATAATGTATGAGTAAGCAATTCAAGAACAGTTCCAAAGTACGTATATAAGATCAACAGTTGAGTACATCATATGATAGGAGAAGTGAAAATAAATGCCAACAAACCATTTTATTATTCCAATCAAGTATCTTCACAAAGGGATAATTACCGTGCAACCCAGGTGCTTCAGACAGCCTTCAAAAAACATCAGCGTTTTCGGTGTTGGTCTCTTCTCTGCATGTCCTGATGCAAATGATTCCAGAACCTTTTCCACCTTGAACATGTCACATTGCCCTAGCCTTGCTGAAGCAATGTTATCAATTGACGAGGCAATCTGACCGCCCGTGCATTTTGATATTCTCTCCAAAAGTGTCCTCTTTACATTCAGAACTAATGAGATATCTTTCGCTAAGAGCTCCTGGGCATAAGATGAGACGCTCTTCTCAACTATCAGCACATTAGGTTTCCTAGACTCAATCTTTCCAACAACAGTTCGTAGATATTCCTTTTCCTACAGATAGAACATTTGTCAGCAAGACTGTAAACAACTAAACATCATACTTCAATTTCAAAAACACGCACAGACACAAACCTGTTCGAGTATAGTTCCAATTGATGCTAACTTATTAGAAGCTTTCTGGTACTCAAGTGCACCTCCTAAAATGAGCAATTTGGCATTACTGTACTCTGAGACCATGCGTTTGTGTTTTACATTCTTGGAGCAAACAATTCCTCTTATAAAATTGCTGCAATCAACGGGTTATCAATAAGTACCAAATTATGATCAGTAGAAGCATGCAATGCGTAGAAACAACAGAAGTGAGCACAAACCTATCAGTTGGGTTCCCAGATGCTATGCACTTGATCTTCACATAATCACTAGGATCCATGCTGCCGCCTTTCTTGGTGTCAGGTTTCACAAAGTAAGCGGCTTGCCATGCTAACGAGGACACAATATCAAGCCAGATTTTGGAATCCTTCTCACTGGCCAACCCAACACCTTCCGCCTTCAGTAACTGTGCAACTAGAGCTTGAAAATGCCTAAATAGATCCTTCTGAACACTCTCTTGGTGGGACCCACAATTGATATTGCTGACACCAGTTGCTCTATTAGTTTTAGCACTGAAACAACTTGGGGCAAAAGTGTTGTTGGAATCCCCAATTTCATCATCGTCGTCATCGAATCCAAATAACCTCGATTCAGCATCATCAATCTCATCTTCAGGCGGTGGTGGGCACCAAATATTATCACCAAAGTCGAAGATACAGGATGGCACATGGCTTGCTTTGCTGTTCTCAGCTATGCTAACATCAGCCAGGTCATGAGCATCATCTGAGTCGATTGCTGCAATTGCACCATTATCAGAAGCATCATTCTGCCTCGCCGCACAAGTAGGACTCTCTGTGGGGCTTGGGGTCATCGATCTGTATGTTGAGTTACTAACACTAACACTAGAATCTGTATCTGAAAAGTCATTTAAGAAGTAAGTCCCTGGGGCTAAAAACTGGACCCTGGGTTCATGAGCCTCCTCGTCGTCCGCTTGCCTGCATCAAAAATTATTCAGAACTCGTCAACAGTGGCCAGAGCTAGACAACCTACCTCTACTCAAGCTATCAGCGTCCATCAACCACTACTTCCAAAGAAAGAGGGGCGATAATTAAAGCCATTCTAAGTCAATTGACCAGACATTTTGCACTTATTAGAAGGCAACGGAAGTAAATAATAACTGATTTACTAGTTCACTTCCATATCATTAGGAGTACTACTATAGTTTAGTGTTAGGAACCAATTAATTTTGCACTGCAGATAGAGACAGAGATTTCCGTTACCTAATATCGCGGTCTGGAGGAGGGGAGCGCGGCGCCACGTCGCCTTTGCTCCTGGATCTCGCCTCGGGCGCCCGCAGCGGCGTCGTGGGCGGCTCAGCAGGCGACGCCGGGCTGTTTGGCCGCCCGGGCGGGCCGCCGCCATGACCCACCGATCGGCGGCGTCGCGTCTCTATGCGCGCGAGTGCGTCCCCATCGGTGCCGCCCTTGTGCATGTGGCGCTGCGGGTGGTCGGCGACGAGGGATCTGGTCTTCTCCGGTGCGCCTATCGCCGCGAAATCCAGCACACCCATCCCTACCAGGCCACCACGCTACGTTCAAACCAACCGACTAAAAAAACTGCCAAAAAAATGGAGCAGGAAACAACGGGGCGCGCCGAACCTACGCGACGCGGACGCGCGGAAGATTCCTTCCTCCCAAAGCCACCGTTCACCTCCCCACCAACGCGCGCGGAACTAACTGGTGTGCCCAGGCCCTGGGGGGCGGGGGCGGGGGCGGTCGGAGATGGAGCGGGGCTCCGGCGAGGAGGCGGTGGAGCGGGGATTCAGCCAATGCGGGAGCGGCGGGCGGCGGCCAGAGGATCGGGGCCGGAGAAGCGCGGCTTGGTTGCAGATTTGGGAGGTTTGGAGGGGTGGGAAACGCGTGCGTTGGCGAGAGCTTGGGGGAGAGAGCAGGGGAAGGCGGGCGGCGGCGGCGAAGCGGCGGTGCTTATTATATACGGATATGAAGATTGGGAGGGAGATTTGAGAGTGAATACTAGTAGGAAAGTGACGCCGTAAAATGGGGACGCTAACGGCGAGGGGAGGCTGCGTGCGCTGTCGAAACCCCGTTTTCTCCTTTCGGTCTCGCCTTGTGTACGGTGGATATCTATATAGGAGTACCTATAAAGGATGGATGATTATTGATCCAAGGAAATATGGAATGGATGTGGATGTAATCTTATCTGTAGCACTTAATGATGGCCATTTTTTGCTCTCTTCTATTTTGGCGATTATTAACACCCGCGGTTGTAAAATAATTGATTGCCTACTATATTTTAAAAATAGAGTGTGATCGTGCGGAACCAGGTCTTATGACTCGCTTCGCACCACACGACTGTCCATGCAACATGTGTGTTCTACACACACGTGTAAGTGGATGGTACTTAAAATGAAATGAAATAAAAATATATTTGCAATTGTTGATAATGGGATATAATGCCCGGTTTTAAGTATACTTATTTCACATTCAGTTTTGAAGGAGAAAGCTTGAGAAAGATCAATGAAAATCTCTCGTAAAGTAAGATATGCCTTACAATTCATGACAGATATAAAAAAATCTTGTAAAAATGGATGGGGAGAGTAAATGGTGATTATTGACGGTAAGGAAAATAAGATAAAGATAAACATAACCTTATCTATAACACTCGTCATTGCTTGTTATTGACTGTAATTGTAAAAGCTTGCACAATGTGAGGAAAGTGAATTGGATGGAATTTTTTATCTATGTCTTAATAATGGGACATTATTAATGGCAGATTATGCATATTTTGATGTAAGAGTACTTTATTTGCTTATATACTTCGTATTTGTTATCAATGCACTCAATGCACATGTTTGAATTCGGATACTTGAGGAAGTATATATAATATAAGAATACTTTAATATTACAAGATAACATTAAATACTCAATCTATATGGGCACAATCCTTGAGATGCTACTTTGACCATTGTTTATAATTTATATAGTTGTTATAAGATACTTAAATTCAAGAGAAAAAAATATGGATAGTGTTTGCCTAGCATGTTAACTATTTGTCAAAGCTAGACAAGATTTGGTTATAGTTTACTGTGAAATCGTTCATTTTATAATGTAGATAGTGACACCATGTGTTGACTTTAAGAATAAACTTTTAACTAGGGGGTATTCTTAGTAGTGTGGTTGGATCGTCGTACACTCGACAAAGTGACACGACGATGTTCTTAAAATAGGTTCAGCTGCCTCGAGGGAGCACGTCCTATGTCTTGTGGGAGGGTCGTTGAGAGTGGTGCATGGGGCACGGGACACTACAAGTGTGGCCATTTCCGGAGTCACACGACTCGCGACTAGTCCGAGCCTTAGCAGGGCCCTATGACTCCGGGCTCTCGGCTTTTGTTTGCCCTCCTGAAGGGATTGGAAGGGGTGAGTAACCCTCCACTTGAATCTACTCAAGTAAGAGTGAGTGAATTACATGTGTATGGGGAGGGGGGTTTATAGAGCCTAGGTGTCCTTGATGAATGACCAAGACTGCCCTTGAAGTAAGGAGGTGGAACGGTAGAACAAGGTGATTTTTCTTCGTTAACCCATGTGCTCCTTATTGGGATAGGAGGTGGGTTGTGGCCCATTAGGGGGGGGGGGGAATCCGTACAATAGAAAAGGCTTGCTTGGGCATGTGTCGGGCCTGTTTCCGGAATAAATCACAAAATAGCCCCAAGTCACACTAGCCCCAAGGTCAGAACAACCAGTGGACTCCCTCTTATATATAACCAGTACAAACATAATATTACATCGGGTTGAGCCAGAGTGTGATACGTCCATTTTGCATCATGTTTTCCTACTATTATTTATAATGTTTTTATGCATAATAACACTTTTTGGAGTAATTCAAATGCCTTTTCTCTCATAATATGCAAGGTTTATATAAAGAGGGAGAATGCCGGCAGCTGGAATTCTAGACCTGAAAAAGCTATGTCAGAGATACCTATTCTGCACATCTCCAAATGAGCTGAAATTTTACGGGGAATTATTTTGGAATATATAATAAATATTGGAGAAAAGAACTACCAGAGTGGGCTGCCATGTGGCCACAAGACACCAGGGCGCGCTAGCCCTCGAGGGTAGTAGGCACCCTGGCCCACCTCTGCTGCCCATCTTCTGGTATATAAGGTCTTTTGACCTAGAAAAAATAAGGAGAGGACTTTCAAGACAGAGCGTCGTTGTCTCAAGGCGGGACTTGGGCAGGAGCACTTTTGCCCTCCGACGGAGCGATTCCGCTGGGGGAACTTCCCTCATGGAGGGGGAAATCGAAGCCATCGTCATCACCAACAACCCTCTCATCTTTGGGAGGCCAATCTTCATCAACATCTTCAACATCACCATCTCATCTAAAACCCTAGTTTGTCTCTTGTGTTCAATCTTTGTACCAGAACCTCAGATTGGTACCTGTGGGTGACTGTAGTGTTGATTTCATCTTGTGGTTGATGTTATATGGTTTATTTGGTGGAAGATTATATGTTCATATCCATTATGCTATTTTAATATCCCTATGATCTTGAGCATGAACATTATTTTTGAGTAGCTGCCCTTGTTCTTGAGGCCATGGGAGAAGTCATGTTGCAAGTAATCATGTGAATTTGATATGCGTTTGATATTTTGATGATATGTATGTTGTGATTCCCTTAGTGGTGTTATGTGAACGTCGACTACATGACACTTCACCATCTTTGGGCCTAAGGAAATGCATTGTGGAGTAGTTATTATATGATGGGTTCCTAGAGTGATAGAAGCTTAAACCCTAGTTTGTGCGCTATTTCGTAAGGAACTGATTTGGATCCATATGTTTAATGCTACGGTTAGATTGATATCTTAATTCTTCTTTCGTAGTCGTGGATGCTTGCGAGGGGGTTAATCATAAGTGGGAGGCTTGTTCAAGTAAGAACGTCACCCAAGCACTGGTCCACCCACATATCAAATTATCAAAATAGCGAACGCAAATCAAACCAACATGATGAAAGTGACTAGATGAAATTCTCGTGTGCCTTCAAGAATGCTTTGCTTATTATAAGAGATTGTTCCAGCCTGTCCTTTGCTACAAAAAGGATTGGGCTACCTTGCTGCACTTTATTTACCATTACCATTACTTGCTTGTTACAAATTATCTTACTCTCAAACTACTTGTTACCAACAATTTCAGTGCTTGCAGAAATTACCTTGTTGAAACCGCTTGTCATTTCCTTGTGCTCATCGTTGGGTTCGACGCTCTTACTTATCAAAAGGACTACGATTGATCCCCTATACTTGTGGGTCATCAAGACTCTTTTCTGGCATTGTTGCCGGGGAGTGAAGCGCTCTTGGTAAGTGAAAATCGGTAAGGAAACATTTATATTACGTGCTAAAATTTATTGTCACTCGTTACCATGGAAAACAATGATTTGAGGGGTTTGTTCGGGGTATCTTCACCTCGACCGGGAACATAAAGAGTTGCCCCTCAATCTACTGCACCTACTGAAAATATTAGTTACGAAATTCCTTTAGGTATGATAGAGCAACTGCTAGCTAATCCTTATGTAGGAGACGAAACGAAACATCGTAATATGCATTTGATACATGTGGATAAAATTCATGGATTGTTTAAGCTTACAGGTTTACCCGAAGATGAAGTTAAGAAGGTTTTCCCTTTATATTTGGGGCGGGGGAAAGCATTGACATGGTATAGGCTATGCAATGATATTGGATCTTGGAACTGGAATCGACTGAAATTGGAATTTCACCCAAAAATTTATCCTATGCATCTAGTTCATCGTGATCGGAATTATATATTTAATTTTTGGCGTCGTGAAGGAGAAAGTATCGCTCTGACTTGGGGGAGGCTTAAGTCAATGTTATATTCATGCCCCAATCATGAGCTCTCAAGAAAAATTATTATTCAGAACTTTTATGCTTGGCTTTCTCGTAATGAGCAATCCATGCTCGATACATTTTGTACTGGTTCTTTTATCAAGAAGACTATTGAATTCAGGTGGGATCTTTTAGAAAGAATTAAATGCAACTCTGAAGATTGGGAACTCGACGAACATAAAGGGTCAGGTATTAATCTTGAGTTTGATTGTGTTAAATCTTTTATGAATACCGATGCTTTTCACAAGTTTAGCACTAAATATGGACTTGACTCTAGATAGTAGCCTCTTTTTGTGAATCATTTGCTACTCATGTTGATCTCCCTCAGGCGAATTGGTTTAAATATCACCCCCCTATTAAATAAGAAATTAAAGAACCGGTAATAGTTAAAGATGAAACTATCATTTTATAATGTTGATCCAGTTATGCCTACTGCTTATACTGAAAAATCACCTTTCTCTGTTAGTATAAAGGAACATGCTAAGGTACCAACAGTGGTTCACAAAAGTAATATTAAAGCACATAAACCCTCTGAACAAATTAAAAAAGAACCTAGTGTTGCTATGGTTAACAATCTCTTGGTCGAAAATGTTGATGGGCATGTTATTTACTTCTGTGATGAAGTTGTTAGAATTGCCAAACCCGACACTAAACATAA